CTGCGTCCACCGTTTCGCCGCTTGTCTCACTCGGTCGCTGCTGGTTGCGCTGAGGTAGAGAGAGGAGAGAGCGGTGAAGAAGAGAGAGAGAAAGGGCAGGAACCAAATGAACTAGGGTTCGGCACGGCTTCTGCCTGGTGGTTTTGTTCACAGCAACGACGCCTTCGGCGTCGAGATCAAAATGAACGGCGCAAGCGGGCCCGAGCGAGCAGCGTGGCAATTTGTTGACCTAGGCCCAGTTTAAGCGGCTCAGGTGCGGGCAACCAGCGGCAAGGAGGCGGTGAATTCTTGATGAACAAGAAAGATTTGAGTCATTTTCCCAGTAAATTGATTAATGGCTTAAAAAAAATAGAAAAGAGATTTGTCCTGTGGACAAAATTCATTAAATTGGATTATTTTTCTGCTGCTAAAGAAATTGTTTATTCTCCAGTTATTTTGAACCAACGTGATATTTAATTAGAGAAAAAGAGAGTTTTTCCGCTGCTAAAGAAATTATTTATTCTCCAGTTATTTTGAACCAACGTGATATTTAATTAGAGAAAAAGAGAGTTTTTCCGCTGCTAAACAAATTGTTTATTCTCCAGTTCTTTTGAACCAATGTGATATTTAATTGGAGAAAAAGAGATTTTGACATGATTATGATGTTGTTATTTTCTGGCCAACGTTGTTAATAACAATATCATAATTTTAATGATTTATGCATTAATTTTACTTCTGCCCAACGGTGATGTAGAATTAGTGTATGAGAACAGTTGTAAAAGTTAATGATTTATGCATCAATTCTATTTCAGCCCAACGTTGATGTAGAATTAGTGTATACAAACAGTTGTATATTTTGATTTTGACCAACGTTAGAATCAAAGCATGCAAATAGTGTTATTTTTATGTTAAGAAAAGGTTTGTCCTGGTTTTCATCTTGTCTAAGGTGAATTGGGTAGTCATCTCACCGTGTTCCACTGAGTCTGTGGCACCGGTGAGGGAGACAAACGAGGCTGATGTCGTTTAGGCAACTAAAGAGAGGGATTTTGAATCCCAAAAGATGTTATATGCCCTTGAACATAGGAAGTATGTCACTGCCAACAAGAAATGTTTGGCTGTGATAAAGAACACGATTGAGCCTGCAATTGTGGGTTCAATCCTAGAGTGTGACACGGTCACCGAGTACCTCGATAGAATAAAGAGTCAGTTCACTAGCTCTTCAAAGACATATGCTACCCAGCTGATAAAGCAGCTGGTGACATAGTGTTACTCTCATAATGATGGCATAAGAGAGCTCACGATGCGTCGTTGAAATTATGGCACTATTGTTTAGGCCATATTTCAAGGGGGAGAATAGAAAGACTAGTTAAGAATAATATTCTCCCTCCATTAGAGCTCTCAGAATGCATAAAAGGAAAGTAGGTAAAGAAAACTAAAAAAGATATCAAACGAAGCGCAGAAATTTTATAGATTATTCACACAGACATCTATAGTCATTTTCCTATAAAGAGTGTGGATGGTTATGATTTGTTCATAACATTCACAAATAATTACTCTTATTATGGCTATATTTATCCAATCAAAGAAAGAACAGAACCATTGGATAAATTTAAGATATTAAAGATTAAAATAGTCAGGTCTGACATTAGGGGAGTACTACGGTCGGCATACCCTAAAAGAATGGCATAGTAGCACAGTATTCTACACCGGACGAACCTCAGCAGAATAGAGTAGCTAAAAGAATCAATCGTACCCTGATGAATATGGTGGGCAGTATGATAAGTTACTCCACCTTACAGTTGAGCCTATGAATGGAGGTGTTAAAAACCGACATTCATATTCTCAATAGAGTACAAAGTAAGTCGGTGCCCAAAACACCGTATGAGTTGTGGACAGGAAGAGTACCATCACTAAAGACTTAAGTGTGTGGGGGAGCCCTACTGAGGCTAAAGTATTTAACCCAAACATTGGGAAGTTAGATCCCAAAACAGTAAGTTGCCATTTGTTTGGCTATCCAGAAAAGTCAAAAGTTTTTTGTTTTCTACTGTCCAGAGAGACATACAAAGTTTGTGAAAACGAGACACGCTGTCTTCCTAGAGGATGAATTGATGAGGGGAGCATGGTAGCTCGAGAAATTGACCTTGAAGTGAAGCGGGTGTATGTGCCCACTCCAATGATTCATGAGCCATTTTTCTCACTACCTGCTGTCGCTGCACCGACAGTGCTAGATACTGTGGTGCCAGCACATGTTATTATCCCACCTATGGCAACAATAAATGACGATGAGGAACCTGTTCTTCAGGATCCTATAGAACCTATTGCCACACATGAGGGGGAGCAACAACAGCCTCAAACAGAAGATGTGCCAAATGTGAAGGCCCCTAGAAGGTCCCAAAGAGTTAGAAAATCAGCTATTTCTGCTGATGAAGTGTACAACACTAAAGAATTTCAAATGGAGGATGATCCCACCTCGTTTGAAGAAGCCATGAGTAGTGATCATTCATCAAAGTGACTTGAGGCCATGGAAGATGAAATAAAATCAATGAATATCAATAAAGTTTGGGATTTGGATATAATTCCTAAAGGAGCCAAAACAGTAGACTGTAAATGGGTCTATAAAATAAAACTTGACTCTTAAGGGAATATAGAGAGATATAAAGCGTGACTTATGGCAAAAGGCTTTATGCAAAGAGAAGGGATTGATTACAATGAGACCTTTTCTTCAGTCTCATGTAAAGTTTCCTTCAGAATCATAATGGCATTAATGGCACATTACGATTTAGAATTACATCAGATGGATGTAAAGACAACATTTCTCAACGGAAACTTGGAGGAAAATGTTTACGTGGCACAACCGAAAGGTTTTGTCTTGGAAAAAAAAGAACGAATGGGATGCCGCCTAAAGAAATCCATTTATGGATTAAAATAAGCTTCAAAACAGTAGTACTTGAAGTTTGATCAGACAATAAAGAATTTTGGGTTTTAAAGAGAATGTAGAGGGCAATTGTGTCTATGTGGATGATATCTTACTTGCTAGTAGTGATGTCAGTCTACTATAGGAGACAAAGAAGTTTTGTCCTCAAAACTTGATATGAAAGATCTTGGTGAAGTCTCATTCGTTCTAGGGATCGAGATTCACTGAGATGGAAGAAAAGGGGTATTAGGACTGTCACAAAAGGCACACATAGAAAGAATCTTAAATAAATTCAGTATGCACAAATGTAGTCCCTCACCTACTCCTATAGTCAAGGGCGACAGATATGGGGATTTTCAATGCCCTAGGAACCAATATGAGCTCAATCAAATGAAAGTGGTTCCATATGCTTCAACTGTCGGAAGCTTACAATATGCTCAAGTATGTACGCGCCCTGACTTGGCATTTGTTACCGGGTTACTTGGCAGATTCCAGAGCAATTCTGGAACAGAACAATGAAATTAGTAAAGAAAGTCTTGCATTATTTGTAAGGAACGAAAGGCCTCATGATGACGTATAGAAGATCTGATTCACTCCAAATAGTGGGAAATTCATATTCTGATTATGCGAGAGATGATAGAAAATCCACGACGGGATAGTATTCACTCTCGAAAAGGGGAGCTATTTCATGAAAAAGCTCAAATGCAAACCGTCACTACATCATCCATAATGTATGACCGTTTGTAGCGTGATATGAGGCAACGGGGCAGGTGAACTGACTAAAGAAGTTCATACCCGGTTTGAAGGTGGTTGACGACATCTATAGACCACTTAAGTTATACTGCGATTATAATCTGACAGTACAGTATGCTCACAACATAAGTCAAGTGGTGCTGCCAAACACATTGACATAGAGTATTATGTTGTGATAGATAAAGTCCGAGATCAAGTCATAAGTCTTGAGCATATAAGTATAGAAAAGATGCTCGTGGATCCGCTTACAAAAGGCTTACCACTCAACGTGTTCAGAGAAGATGGTGTTCAGAGAACATGTAGCTAGCATGGGTTTAAGGGAAAGCCTAAAATTCCTGGACAAAAGAAGGCCCAAAGATAAGTATCTATTTTAGAACAGAGTAGTGTGTTGTAACTGTTAAATCTATCGGCAATGGACCGTGACGATGAGACATGCTCTATGCACTAATCTGTAATGGAATGAACAAAAGTAAATGATATGAAATTGAAAGATGAAATGAGATCAAGGGGGAGAACATTAGTTGATCTCCACCAATAGGCCCAATGGCCTATTGGGCCCTTGCCTCTGCGCCCTGATCAGGGGCGCCCAACCCTAATAGGTTTGTGGGCTCCTGTCGCACAGCACATATAAAGATAGGTGAGGATCACGGCTCCAGTTATAAGGTTGGTCTAAGCCGCCATGATCCCATCGATAGAAACCCTAATCCGATCTACAGTGTGCTGCCAGCGACAGGATGCCCCACCACACCGCCGTCGCCTCTGCAGGGTCTTCACCGGTCCCCTGGATCGCCACCTTGCCTCCTCACCACCGTGCCGAGCACCGGCGTCCGCGAGGCGGCATCCAGGGCGAACTTGGCGTCTACATTGCTGCGGCCCAACTACGCTAAGGCGAGGAGCCTTACCCGGATCTACGGTTACACAGAAAGGTACACCACGATCCTAACACTTTCTATCATCAATCTACTGACAGCAGAGTGTATTCCTGTGTGATTTGAGTGGTACACACATCTCCTGATAGAGTACCGGTTGCGAATATCAAAAGTACTCCAATCTCATTTGACCCGCTCGTCTGCTCGTCGCATCAGTACTTAGAAAAGTGAAGAACAACGCATGACAACAAATTAATCATGATATATTCTTCCATTGCACTGTCCGGACACGGGTGCACCACACGACAATCAATCCATGATTCTTCCGTTGCAGCTCTAAACAAATCAGGATCAGATGTGATCATTTCTACCACCACTCTAATCTCAGACATACAACAATAGCACAAACAGAGACGTATATACGTACGTACATATGCGCAAGGCATCCACATGCATGCTATACACGTGCATAACACCGTATCCTACTATATTTGCTTGGCCATGGCGTTGATGATGGCGAGCGCAATGGCCGTGAGGTGCATGGCGTCGGCGACGTTCACCCGCACGGCCTCCCTCACGACGGCGGGCTGGCCCTTGAACCCCTCCATGCACATGTCATCGTTCGTCAGCGCGGCGCTCGCCCACGTATGCACGTTGTTCACCTGGAACCTAATTCTCCTGCTGCTCCCGGTCCCGCCCTGCTGCCCGCCACTAACGCTTGGCTCCTCCTTCCCGAGGCGCTCCATGGCCTCCACCGACTACTCACTACTAGAGAACAGACTTTAGAACGATGTCCCAATTTGGCATTAGCCTCGGCATTTTTTGCCCCCAGGACTAAAGGTTCCTGCCCAACGGTCGTCCGCGGGGCAGGGATCTTTAGTCCCGGCTGCGGTTGGTAATACCAGCTGGGACTAAATCGTTTAGTCCCGGTTTGGGTGATGTCCCGAGAATAAAGATTAATCTTTAGTTAGTCCCGGTTGGTAATACCAGCCGGGACTAAATCATTTAGTCCCGGTTTGGGTGATGTCCCGGGAATAAAGATTAATCTTTAGTCCCGGTTTGGCCCCCTAACCGGAACTAATTATCCTAGCCTATAAACCAGCTCATTTTTTCCTCCCCGAGCCCGAGCCATTCCATTCAAACTCACTGCCTCTGTTCTTCAGCTTGCTGTTGTTCTTGCTCTCTCCCCCTCCATTGGTGTTGCTCTTCGATTTTGAAGATAACAAACTTAATCCTCTTATATTTTATCAGTAGCTTATCTCATTTTGCGATGTAGATGCATGTGTAACTTTATATGTTGGACTTTATTATGATTTTATGTCATTTTTAGCTCAAAATTACATGATGATTTGCATATATGTTTGGATAAACAAAAGTTAAATTAGTTCATCAAAATCTTACGTGATCTTAGAATTAAATTTTCCATGAAATGAAAAACTTAGAGAATTCGTACTAGTTGAACTTGCGGACCGTGTTCATCTCGGCGAGCATGTTCTCTGCCGAGCGGTAACGAACGTCAAGGAGGAGCTTTGATTCTATGAGGGAGAGCGGCAACGGTCGTGGAAGACCGTGTTCCCTTCCTCATAGAATCGGAGCTCTTCCTTGGCCAAGTATGGTGCCGTCTGGTGGAGAAATGCTCACCGAGATGATCACGTAAGCAAGGTCAACTAGTACGGATGGTTATTTATTGAAACATGTTTTTGAGTTATAATTTGATGGATATTTGATAACTTTAGACCTACAAATGTCATCTACAAATGTTACTATCTTCGGCAACCTAAACGCCCGTGAGCTCGCCGATATCGAGCAGGTCACTTAGAATTATTTTTTCCATGAAATGAAATACTTAGAAATCATGCCTTTTATTTTTTAGAATTAAATTTTCCATGAAATGAAAAACTAAGAAAATAGTTAGAAAATTATAGAAAATCCGTACTAGTTGAACTTGCGGACCGTGTTCATCTCGGCGAGCATGTTCTTTGCCGAGCGGTAACGGACGTCAAGGAGGAGCTTTGATTCTACGAGGGAGAGCGGCAACGGTCGTGGAAGACCGTGTTCCCTTCCTCATAGAATCGGAGCTCTTCCTTGGCCAAACGGATGCCGTCTGGTGGAGAAATGCTCACGAGATGATCACGTAAGCAAGGTCAACCAAGACTGGATGGTTATTTATTGAAGCATGTTTTTGAGCTATGTGATTTCTATGTCATTTTTAGCTCAAAATCACATGATGATTTACAATAGTAAAATCACTTGATAGTTTGGTATTTTACTATTATACATAGTACATATTTCATGGTTTAGTTAGATAAATAAATAATTTTAGTTTTGTTTAAATATATTATTTTAGAAAATGTGAAATTTACACTAGTTTGCAAAAATAAGTATAGAAAGTAGATGACAACTGGTATCAGATCCTTGGCCTCTCGTTCGGTTGTGAAACGACTGAGGCCAGAACTCCCTCTCATTATCTGCGGCAAGTGTAAGCAGAAGATTGTGATAGAGTACCGAGTCAAGAGACAGGGACCCAACAAGGGTCGTGTTTTCTACAAGTGTCCGGATCGCGATGTGAGTTTCTTACGCATTTGATTATTATGGCTAATTGACTCGCTTTTCTTGAATATTTTTGACTAAATATTTTTGGCTTTAATTTCAAATGGGAGGGCAATGGATGCGATGGTTGGTACTTGGGAGGAAGATTATGCTACATACGTAGAATTCGGTGCGATTGAGGTAGTGGTCACTGATGATGAGAGGCGGTGAGCCAAAGGAGAAGCTTATTGATATTCAAAAGACGAATGATTTGTCTGTTTTAGTTGCGTACGGTCACAAAATAATTATGTTACTGAAGTGCATTGTAGTTTTAGTTTGTTTAGTGATAGTTGGGATTGCTTACGTTGTAGCCAGGCTTAGTTAATTAATCAACCATGTGTGTGTCATCTATGTTGTGTAATAAAGTACTTAATTATGTTCAAGGTTTTCATAATTTGTCGTGTAATGCAGATTATGTCACGTCATTGGATGTACAATGCCGTTCGCCGCTCCCAAGACTTTATTGAGGGCGTGCACTATTTCTTAGGTGTGGCCGAGGCAAATAAGCGGGATGGTTTCATGTGCTGTCCATATGCCCTATGTAAGAATTTAAAGGAATATTCAAGCTCAATGAGTCTTCATTCACATTTGTTTAAGTCAGGTTTCATGTCAAACTATATATGTTGGACTAAGCATGGAGAAAGCGGGGTCATGATGGAAGAAGGTGAAGGAGAAGATTTAGACATTGATGACATTATTGCTCAGTATGGTGCCTTTGATGATACTACAATGGGGAGATGAAGAAGAGGTAGCGGCAGAAGATGATCTCGGTGATGCTCTTGGCGATGCCATTTGTGATGCACAACAAGAATGCGAAAGTGAAAAAGAGAAAGTTAAGTTCGAGCGCATGCTTGAGGATCATAGGAAGTTGCTATACCCGACGGCCGAAGAGGGATAAAAAAGCTAGGTACAACACTAGAATTGCTACAGTGGAAGGCAAAGAATGGTGTATCCGACAAGGCATTTGGGAATTTATTGAACCTCATAAAGAAGATGCTTCCGAAGCCAAATGAATTGCCCACCACTACGTACGAAGCAAAAAAGGTTGTTTGCCCTTTGGGATTAAAAATCCAGAAGATACATGCATTTCCTAATGACTGCATCCTCTACCATGGCAATGAATACGAGAATTTGGATGAATGCCCGGTATGTAAAGCATCGCGGTATAAGATCAGGCGCGATGATCCTGGTGATGTCGAGGGTGAACAACGTCCTAGAAAGAAAATCCCTGCCAAGGTTATGTGGTATGCTCCTATAATACCACGCTTAAAATGTTTGTTCAGAAATAAAGACCATGCAAAGTTGTTGAGGTGGCATAAAGAAGACCATAAGGTAGACAATATGCTGAGACACCCAGCTGATGGGTCCTAGTAGAGAGCGATAGACAGGGAATTTCTAGAGTTTGCAAATGAGGCTAGAAACTTAAGGTTCGCCTTAAGTACAGATGGTATGAATCCTTTTGGGGAGCAGAGCACTAGTCATAGCACTTGGCCAGTTACTCTATGTATCTACAACCTTTCTCCATGGTTATGCATGAAGCGGAAGTTCATTATGATGCTGATCCTCATCCAAGGTCCGAGGCAACCTGGCAACGACATTGATGTCTATCTGAAGCCATTTGTTGAAGAACTTCTAGTTTTATAGAACAAACCAGGTGTACGTGTCTAGGATGAGTACAAACAAGAACACTTTGACCTACGAGCAATGTTGTTCGTAACAATCAATGATTGGCCTGCTTTAAGTAATCTTTCAGCTTAGACAAACAAAGGATATAATGCATGCACACATTGTTTTGATGACCTTGACAGTATATATTTGAAAAGATGTCGAAAGGTCGTGTACCTTGGCCATCGTCGATTCCTTCCTTTGAATCACCAAGTAAGAAAGAAAGGAAAGCATTTTAAAGGTAAGCCAGACCACCGGAAGAAGCCTCATAACTGAACCGGGGAAGATGTACTCGCAATGGTCAAGGATGTGAAAATAGTATTTGGAAAGGGACAAGGCAACGAATCTGTTCCCAAAGATGCTAAGGGACACGCACCCATGTGGAAGAAGAAGTCCATCTTTTGGGAGCTACCCTATTGGCAAGTTCTAGAGGTCCGCAACGCAATCGACGTGATGCACCTGACAAAGAATCTTTGTGTGAACCTGTTAGGATTCATGGGTGTGTACAGGAAGCCAAAGGATTCACTTGAAGCACGCCAGGACTTGCAGGGCATGAAAGAACGAGACAACCTTCATCCATAGAAGACAGATGATGGACGTCATTACTTAAGTCCTACTAGCTACACGCTTAGCAAAGAAGAGAGGGACAGCATGTTCGAATGTCTAAGCAGCATTAAGGTCCCATCGGGATTCTCCTCCAATATAAAGGGTATAATAAATGTGCTAGAGAAGAAATTCCTAAACTTAAAGTCCCACGACTGCCACGTGCTTATGACACAATTGCTTCCAGTTGCTTTAAGAGGAATTCTATCTCCACATGTACGTCTAGCCACCGTGAAGCTATGTTCATTCCTCAATGCAATTTCTCAGAAGGCAATCAATCCAATGGAACTAGCTACTCTACATAATGATGTGGTTCAATGTCTTGTCAGCTTTGAGTTGGTGTTCCCTCCATCCTTCTTTAATATCATGACACACCTCCTAGTTCATTTGGTGAAGGAGATTAGTATTCTTGGACCTGTGTTCTTACATAACATGTTCCCCTTCGAGAGGTTTATGGGAGTCTTGAAGAAATATGTGAAAGTCCGTTCTAAGCCTGAAGGAAGCATCGCCTAGGGCTATGGAACAGAGGAGGTCATTGAGTTCTGTGTTGACTTTATTCCTGACCTTACCCCGATTGGTGTTCCCGAATCGCGACACGAGGGGAGACTCAGTGGTAAAGGAACTTTAGGGAAGAAAACATATATCTGCATGGAAGACGATTATTTCAATAAAGCACACTACATAGTTCTTCAGAACTCGTCATTAGTGCATCCGTACATCAAGATACATAAGGAGTTCTTACGATCCAAGTTTCCAGGGAAGACTAAAGTTTGGATTAGGCGTCAGCACATGGAAGGTTTTAGTGGTTGGTTACGAAAAGAATGTCAAGGCGATGACAAAATTGATGAGCAACTGTATTTGTTGGCTAGGCAACCATCGTGGCATATCT